TATATATATATATATATATATATATGCATATATATACATACTATATGACGGGCAATGAAAAATCGATTTCTGAGCTTCTGGCTTTTCTTTCTTCCGCTATATTACGTGATTATTTGTTTTCCCGCATTTTCTTCAGCCTATTGTAGTCAGTCTTCTTCGCTATTCCTTGGTGAAGATGGGTTTCGCTTGAAGATCGTTCAGCAGTAGTCGCGATCTACAAGCGCGGTTCGTCGGTTTTCGAGGTGTCCAAGACGCTCAAACTTCATCGAGAATAAGTCTGTCGTCGCAAAGCGATTCGAAGAGACTGGTAAGATTGAAAATCGTCGAAGAGGAAGACTAGGAAGAACGGTTAGGGCCTTCGCGCCTTGCGCGAGGTGTAAGTCCTGATCGAATTCCCTTTAAGGACGAGAAAATATATTCTATTAAACTGTTCCGAAACGCGCAGAATCAGCGGATACTGCTGCCAAAAAGACCTGCAAGAGAAGTCAAGGTCGAGATTCTGGTTATCCACCGTCGGTGACGGTGTGGGCTGGAACAAAGGCCTTGGAAAGACCAAGCTCGTTATCGTGGAGAAAGGAATGAGAATCAATGCTGAAATACATCCAATGCAGATTTTGGAGAATGCGGTGGTCTCTTTGGCCAAGAAGAATGCGACGAATGTTAAATGGACCTTTCAGTAGGATTGGGCACAAGCCCACAGCGCGAAGAAGACACTGCAATGGTGTGAGACCATCCTTGCGGGTTTCTGGACATAGGTATGGCTTGCAAACACTCCCAATCTAAATCTTTTGCATACTGCTGTATGGTCGATTCTGGAGCAAAAAGCTTGCTCTGATGAAAATAGGTCCTCGGATTCTCTAAAAAAAATTCTTTGCGAAAGCATGGGATGAGATTTTGCCGGAAGTGACTGCGCGCGTTCTTGAAAACTGCAGAAAGAGGTTGAGTGCTTGCACTGAAGCGAAAGTTGGACATATTGAATGCGTGATGTGATATGTTTTTTACAGTTTGTGTGATGATTGTATAGAAGTAAATGTATCCTAGTTGGTATAACATCAAAATAAATAAATAAATATACAGTACTGTTCAGTGAAGTATGCGTTTTCAATTTTTTAAACGTAACTTCGGCAAATTTCAACCTTGCGGCGGGAAACCCAAACAGCATGCAACTTGAACAGTTAGTAACATTATACTTGCGCAGCAGTCTAGCAGCAAACTTCCAACCGAGACTGGCGCTTAATTTTCAAACAGCCCCCCCCCCCGCAACGCACACTTTTGCCTTCGATAACTCGTGCGTTTTTACGTTTGGAATTTCGAGGTAATTCTTGCTCCTTTGTGTCACGTCATGCACCTAGTAGATCAACAAGACTCTTCAATGCACTCGGGAATCTGTAAGTCACGGCAAGATCAAGTTGACGTCGTCATTCGGGGCTTCCATGAAACCTTAACATCCAAGCGAGTTTCCGAAATTCAAGTTGTGCCAATTATGTGCGTACCAACGATTTGGAAGGAACACAAGGTTACAGGGTCAGCCTAAGCAAAAAGTCACCCAGAGGCAGCGAGATTGACGCTATGTCTTGCCGATAGAAAAATGGTGCAGCGTGCAACAAATGGCTCGGGTCAAAACTTTTCGCGAAATCTCGACGCCCGAGAGACCAATCAGTCCTGAAACACTTTTCTACGTTTTTTAAAAGAAGTTGGTCTGTTTGGACGTTGTCCAACAAAGAAGCCACTGATTTCTGCCAAGAATCGCAGTGCTTCTCGATTGGGCTCATGCTCACAAAAACTGGGTAATCCAGCAGTGGCGTAAGGCCATCAAAAGCGACAAACCCAAGTTTTTGCTGTCCGGCAAGGATGAAATTAAGTTTGGGTGACGTCCAATAGGTACCAGATGTCATGCATGTTATCAGCAGCCAACCGTGAAATATGACGGGGGTACAGTGATGGTTCACGGCAGCTTCTGTGGCGAAGGAGTGTGCCCTCCCCCCTGAAGTATCGAGGGTAAGATGGATTCCAAAATGTGCACCAACATTATGAAGGCTGCTATCTATCCGTTCATTCGCAGTATTGGCCCCGGTCACTTAAATTTTCCAGCAAGACTATGACCTAAAGCACAGCTCGAAGCTGCTCACCAAACGATTTCGTTCCTCTGCTACCGTGGCCGTTGCAATCCCCAGATCTGAGTCCTATTGAACATCTGTAGGATTGTCTGTAGTGTCAACTTAAAAGCCTTCGAGCCTACAACAAGCACGACAAGCTCCCCAACTCGAGACCATATGGGAGAACATCCCTCAGGAGGGGATCGACAAACTCATCAAGTCAATGCCACGCCGATTTAAGCCACCATTGACTCTAAAGGTTATGCTACGAAGCATCCATGCTTTACTTGTTATATTTGCTCTGATGCAAATTGCTGCGCTGAGAAATGGAAAAGCAAGGCAGATCGAAGTTTCACTGGAATTATAGGGCTCAACCCTTTTTTTGACTATAACCATTCAAAATGTTCCACAATTAACTTAGGCTACTGAAAACTCGCTCTCTGTTAACATGCAGTGATAGGAACTCACAGACTCACAGTGGAAAAAGCAGATGAAAAGATGCTGTTTTAGAGAAGTTGCGTTTGCAAAAGTGAAAGTGGTTTTTCAAATCTGCATCTCATATGTTTATGGTATTTCTTAGCTCACATATATGTTTAGGGGCTCTCTATTCTTGTTTTTGAAAAACGGTGAAGCCTAGCCGTCATCCAAAAGCCGTTCCGTCTTGTCGCGCATTTCGTAAGTTCACTTCCACAATCTCCCCCTCGTATCGCGATGAGAGGACAGGTCAACGACCAGTCTAAAGACGGTCGCGATTACGACCCCCTTCTCCGAATTTCATTGCTTGGGAAGGAACATGCTACGAAACCTGCAGAAACAGGAGAAAAATGACTGCCGAGTTGAATGTATGCTCTACATCGATGGGAAACGTCTCCCACGAACAAATACAACTGTATTCATATAGGTTTCGAAAGTCTTATAAGCTCTTGATGAGAAAAAATTAAGAAATTCACAACTTCCGTGCCCTGCTTGCACGCGGCACGCGCCTCGACGCACTTCTTTTCTGGCAGAAAGGGCGTTCAGCGTGGAAGAAATGTTCAGGTTCTAGATTATACCGCAAGTGGATAGGAAGTTGAGAGGGGCCGGATTGTTTCTTGTAGCGATGCTCCTCTTTTATGATGGTTCGAGCTGGAGTCTGTGCTATCGAAGCTATACCGCTCATTTCTAGTCGGAAAACGTACAAAGATTGATCAGAACATCTTCATGAGGGACATTTTCAAGAAGCTGCTGCTTAAGGTCAAAGATTATTAGAGGGATACGATCTGGAAGCGTTTGCGTACTTGCTCACGAATGCAAAAAGATCAAGACTGGTGGTTAAGAGATGTTCGCAATTTCATCCCTGCTTCAAATCAGTCCACGAATTTCCCGGCCAAAATCCAGTGGTTCTGTGGGAATAATGTACAGTGGAGAGGTAGGCCTCCGCTCTAGAACACACCGCTGTCCGAAGCGTCATTGAGCTACAATTAGTACAGGTGACGGTCATATAAGATGATGGTGCGTTCATTCTCTTCATGGGATGCATAGTGAATAGTTCGCATAAATCTAAAATGTATCAGTATTTACTGCGATTTCTGCATAACAATCATTTTGTTATAATGTTTATGCGCACCCTGTATATATATATATATGCATATATATTGATTTGTCCAGAAAGTCTCTGCCGGAGTCACCTTTGAAAGAAAATTTCTAGAAGATCAAATCCATCCATTAGACAACATATCGTCCATTCTGTTCAGCAACGGTTCGCCGCTTTTTTATCAGTCTCTTTATCCCACTTCCATAGAAGGGTCTCGACTTTGAATCGAAAAATTTTCAGGTGCTTTTTGCAGCCCTCTAGTAGACTGAATAATTTCCATTCAAAAGATTTTGCAGAAACCTAAAGAAAGGGTAGTCTGATGGTGCTCCGTTTAGACTATATGGTAGGTGTGCTGAGACATCCCACCCAAGATCCACCAATTTTTCACGAGGGACCAAAAATACGTGTGGCCTGGAGTTATCCTGTCGGAAGACAGCGCCCTCACGATTAGCCACTTCTGGGCGCTCTGTGGCTGTGTCTGTGTGTCTGTGTCTGTGTGTCTGTGCCTGTGTGTCTGCGCTGTCTTCCGATAGGATAACTCCAGACCACACGTATTTTTGGTCCCTCGTTGCCCATAAATCTTTAGCTGAGTACAGGGCCTTTCCAAAGCTATCAGCAGCACAGCAAACTCTTCCTCACCTGGGTTTTGGCTTTTGGAGTAGACGGCGCTTTAGATTGTCAGGAGGAATATCGACGATACCAACAACGTTGGTATTATTGTGTTGCAATTAATTAAGAGCTGGTCTACGTCAAGCGTGATAGTTAACACTCTGAAGTTACTATATGCTTTCAGGCCTCTGATAACGACGAGTTTGTCGAAACGTCAGGTGAATAAATACTCCACCACTAAAAAACCTGTCTAGCACAGGAGCATTGACTAATAATGTGCTGTGTGTCTTGTATGTTTGTGTTGCATGTGTGTGTTGTATGTGTGCGTGTTGTATGTGTGAGAAGAAGTGAATGCGTGTATGTGTATGTGTGTATGTGTGCGTATGTGTGTGTTGTATGTGTGTGTTACGTGTTGTATGAGTGTGTGTGTGTGTTTTATGTGTGGCTGTGTTTTATGCGTGGTTGTGTTGTATGTGTATGTGTAGGTGTGTGTAGAAGTGTTTATGTATGTGTGTATGTGTGTAGAAGTGTATGTATGTGAGTATGTGTGTATGTATGTATGTGCGTGTATGTGTGTATGTGTGTTGTGTGTGTTGTATGTGTGCATGTGTGTACGTATGTATATTGTGTGTATGTGTGTATGCGTGACTGTGTGTACGTGTGCATGTATGCGTGCGTTGTATGTGTACGAGTGTATGTGATTGTATGTGTATGTGTATTTGCGAATTCGTGTGTATGTGTGTTGTGTGTGTTGTGTGTTTTGTATGTTTGTGTTTGTATGTGCTGCATGTGTGCGTTGCATGTATGTTGTGTGTATGTGTGTATGTGTACATGTGTGTTTATGTATTTGTGTCTATGCGTGTATAAGTGTGCGTGTATGTGCGTATGTCTGTGTATATGTGTGTACATATATATGTGTGTTGTGTGTGTTGTATGTTGTGTTTGTATGTGTCATATGTGTGTATGTTGCAGGTGTGTGTTGTATGGGTGTATATGCGTGTTGTATGTGTATGTGTGTATGTGTGTCTGTGATTTGCGTATGTGTGTATGTGTGCATGTATGTATGCGTGTATATGTGTGTATGTGTATGTTTATGTGTGTTGTGTGTGTTGTATGTTTGTTGTATGTATGTGTTGTATGTTTGTGTTGTATGTGTATTTGTGTATGTGGGTATACAGGGTGCGCCATAAATATGGTAACAACTTTTCGAACCTCCGTCACTTTTTTTTGTTCGGAGAATTTCTCCGAACCTGCCCTTATGTTTAGGATATACAGTAGGCCACATACCTACTTTGGTGCTTTCAAATCGTTAAATTTTGGAAAACAATGGAGCCCCGCAGACATCACCAATCGTCACGTCGTTGCGCGCATTCAGTGAATCCTTCTCCGGAATCGCCCCCCGTTTCAACATTTCCTACATGGCAGTCTCTTGAAACGCGATGTGCAGGCAGGTCAACAACAAACCTTAAAACGGTCGTCTTGTCTCACATACTACCCCTTTTCTGAGTACAATAGCTTGGGAAGCATTACGATGCGGAACCTTAAAAAACACNCAGGTCAACGGCAAACCTTAAAACGGTCGTCTTGTCTCACATACTACCCCTTTTCTGAGTACAATAGCTTGGGAAGCATTACGATGCGGAACCTTAAAAAACACGAGAAAAATGACTGCCGATTACTTTGTATGCTCTAATCCGATGGGAAGAGTCTACCCAGAATAAATACAATTGTATCCAAATGAAATCCGAGAGCCTCATAAGCCTCTTGACGTGAAGAACCTGGAGAGCAAAAGCAAATGCCGTGCGCTACTTGCGCGCGGCACGCGCTTCGCCTTACTTGTTTCTGACTAAAGGTTGTTTGGCGTGGAAGAAATGTTGAGATCTCAGAGCGTACGTGTATTTCACATTACGAGTGCTGAAGTCACCGAGAAGAGTCAGATCGCCTCTCATAGCCGTTTTCCATCTTTTATGATGGTACGATCTAGAATCTTTACCATCAGAGCGATATCGCAAATTTTGGGTGAGAAAAGTACAAAACTTAGTCCGAACATCTATAGAAAGGGTTTTTCTGAAAGGATGCAGCTGAGGGTCGAAGTTTTTTCTTCAGATACTTTTAGAAAGCTACGGCGCACTCGCTCATGAAAGGGAAAGGATCAAGGCTGTATCTGAAGGAATGTTCGCGATTTTATCCCAGCTCCCAATCCTCCTGCGAATTTCCCGGACCACAACATTATAGGTCGCTGGATATAGTCCATTCTAGAGAGGAAATTCTGTGCTGTGAAACACACCACTGTTGCTGCTGCTAAGAAATCACTGAAAAAAGCCTGGGCTGGAATTTCTCAAGAAACCCTGCGTGCCACCGTCAATGAGTAGCCGGAACGTCTCCTAACCGTAATTAGTACAGGAAAAGGTTATTTAAGATCATTGTGCGTTCGTTTTGTAGATGCGATGCATAGTAAATAACTCACATGAATTCACCGTGCATCAATGAGAACTGCGGTTCCTGTAGCCCAATTCTTTTGTTACCATATTTATGGCGAACCCTGTACATATGTGTATCTGTGTTGTATGTGTATGTGCGTGTATGTGTGTTGTATGCGCGTGTATGTGTGTATGTGTGTATTTATGTGTGTGGGTTCGGTCGGGAATTCCTGTTATACTGTACCGAGGCGTCCGAATTAGACAGGGACGTGGAGAAAAAAATCATAGCCAGACTCCGTCATATTTTATTTGAAGCAATCATTTTCATCAAAGGCACAGTTTACGGTAAGAACGGTTTCTAACGAGGGAGGTCTTTTAGGGCGTGAAACGCTTTCTGAAGATGTTTTTTTGCATGGTGTAGGGGCATGAACACTGAGTACAGAACTATGGTCCATTTCCGCTGAATGACCTTCGGAGTGCCAAGAAAGGAGTGAGAAAGATTTAGTCGGGAATTGCCGTTTTAACTCAACAACCGGCGTTTGTTTCATTCATAGTGTCGACTGTCCGCGCATCAGAAAGTGCCAGTGGTTAGCGCACTGAAAATGATGAATGTTGTTGAGCCACACGTTGAATGATGTTGAAAAGTGCGGGAGAATTTTATAGGAGCTGTCCACGGTTGAGCTGCTGGCAGCGACGGATGGTGTAGTGAATAGCGATGTGGGCTTCGAGTTGGGACGACTAGGCAGGGCCGATGATTCGAATTCTCGAGGCGCTGCCGTTTTTGCATTTTATGCTGCCACCTCCAGATTGGCTCCATATTGCACCAGGGCCGAAACAAGTGCCTGACCACTACCTCTTTTTTCAATTTCACGGAGTAAATCTATATGCCATTTAGTTCTGAACCACTACAACCGGTTCGATATGGACACTAAAGAATAGTATCCGTATCACAGTAATAGGCCATGGCGCGGCGAAACTGTCAAGTTACAGCAATTCGCATTGAGCTTTTGTGAGACATGCTGTAACAAACAGTGTCTTGTGTGTTTTATGTGTATACATACATGCACACATACACACATACGCAAATACACACAGACACACACATACACATACACATACAACACACATATGTGCGATTGAGAATGGTATACAGCACAGCTTCCGTTTTTCGCCCATGCCTAGCGTAGGCCTGGGTTGCCGCAGGAAACGTTGCCGACCATCCGGGACCATTTTAAATACCAACTGGTTACACTTTCAACGGAGATGTGGTTGGCGCTTGCCAAGGAAACAGTAACTGGCATTCGTGAAGTGCAGTTGGTGTGGCAAACAACAATGCTTCACTCGTTTTTTAGAGTTGTACCACACTTGTTGATAAATTGTTTGCAATAAATAGAAAGTTCTACACAGCAAAAAAAAACCTTGAGTAATTCCATATTCTGCTCTGCGAGGGTTGTCAAGTCCAATGATCACAAGTGCGAATCATTCATTCTTGATGTCGGCGTCAGTACGCGCCTTGTTTGCGGTACAATTCGTCTCACATGAGACGCTGTCGGGTCCAAAAACTCAACAGCTAGTGCATAACGGGAGTCCCTTACCGGATGGCTCGAATGCTCCGCCTTTCGACCAATTCCACGTCAGACGAGGGTAAGATTGCATTATTCGCTATAGGACCCACACACAATCAGCTGATGGCCGAATGATAAGGCGATGTTTTTCTGCTCCTCCTTTATACTCCGTTATTCTGATCCTTATTCTCATTTTCTACCTCAATAGGCTAGTTTGCTGTTACTAGGATTTTTTTGTTAACTTATGCATATGAGTGGATAAATTTTGAGGTACATTTTTGCTTACAGATGTCAGCTATTCGCACCAGGAGCCACACGTGTGCAACGACACACATCATACAGCTCGTCCAAACACCCCTGCTTCTTCATTTTTCCCGTCTTCTTCTCGTCCAGCCCCCTTTTTAGCGAATTTTTCCAAGCCTTTGACCACTTTGGAAACGCCGTATCATGCACTTTCTTCGCCTTCACCGCATCATTTTCCACCTTATCTTCCATTTTTCGACAGTCTAGATTACCAAAAATTATCGTGCCTTCAAACAATGCTGTTCACAAACCTGCAAATCCAGGCGAAGCTTCATCGCAGTTTCTTTTGCCAGTTCCAAATCAGCTGCAGTTTCCTCACTGAACTTTCTTTCTCCTCAAAGAAAAAAACATCTGGGCTAGAAGACAGAATCACGACAATCACAAGACTCCCCACCACTGAGATCTTTCTCAAGTTTTTCCATAGCAGTTTGTACAGCACTCAGTTCGTTAACTGCACATATATGAGCTCGTTGAACATCACAAAGCCGACTTCTCAACTCAGTTACGTATTCTTCAGCTTCAGTTGCTTGTTTGCGTTCAGACTCGAGACCTCTAACTCGATCCTCTTCTAATTTGCTTTTAAGTTGTTCATATCTGAACATTAGTTAGATAAGATAGGAATGGAAACAATGGAGCGTCGTCAACGTGCACCCATGAAAATGTTTTTGTTAGCTCATATGTCATAGCTCATAGAATGCATATCTTGAGAAGTATGAGATAATTATATAAAATGGCAATGACTCTCTGAATGACAATCTTGATCGGAAAGTTGAGTAGGGAAAATTCATATGTGGTTTGATCTTCATGCCATGCCTGAAGTCTCTGTAGTAGAATTGCCGATATATCGATCTAGACGTCACCAGATGCCATACGAGAAATAGGTACTCTGCAGTAGCCCTGTACATCAATGAACTGTCAAGCCAAGAAGTCCACGCTAATAGATTGTCGCAATATTGCTCAAAAATCGCCAGCTATAAAATAGGAAGTTATTCGTAACTGCTATTCTACATGTTCTTGAATGTTTCTCTTTCAATTGGACAGCATCTTTACAGCTTCTCTGAGCGTCGAAAAGCTATTCAAAGAGGTGACTACGATGCAGAGGTACGAACGGATACATTTGCAAACGTGATTTTCCGGTGCGTGCTATCAAGAAAGCCGAAAAGACAAAACTCGAACGCGAACAATGTGCGGACATGTCGCTACACAAATCATTGTTCAGAAAAACAAACTTATGAGGGGTAGAGCCGGATATGATATATGGATACTCAGTCCTTGATTCCTTTGAATTTTCGAAACTCTGTATCAGACATTATATGTCACACTAAACGATTTCCTCGCCGCTAAACGTAGAGAAGTTATCGGAAGGAAAAAGAATAACACGGTCAGTCAAATGCTACGCTCAACTGCTAGAATTCAAAACGGATACAGAGAACATTCGCATTTTTCAGTTGTAAAGTGACGAGTGGCTAGTGAGAACTGCGAGTCTAATGGTAACTTCAGTCTCACGTCACCTTGTCTTTAGTCAACAAGCAAACTCAAAAACAACTGACCGATTTGTATGGATTACGCTTCTAGCACCTTCTCTAGGCGTGAGGTAAAAATAGGCCAGATTCGTAACGTGAATAAAGTGAACAAAGCAGGCCGTGAATCATATCAGTAGGTTACTGATTATTCTGAAGTGCAAGAAATGTTGAAGTTGTTATACTGGAACACTTAAACCTTCCCTGAATGATTCATTTGTTGAAGAGTATCAATCAGATTAGAAAATGGAGTGATTAAAGAAAATGGCGACTGTGATGATAACCTTCAGGTTCACGTCACTGATCTTTTAGTCAATATGCGAATTAAAACAACAGTTGACGTTTTCTATGAGTCACGCTTTTAGAACCGAGTGGGGGAGGACGCAAGTTCATAACTTCTATATCCTTGAAACTAAGACGAAGAGATCACAGGTTTGGCAGCAGGAAATGAATGTCTTGGACAAGATTGTGTCTGTTGGTTTGTTGGATTGCCGGTTTATCGGTGTGAGTGCTGGAATGTGTATCTGCCGGTGTGAGTGTCTGTATGTGTGTCGGTGTGCATGCGTGTTTGACCGGATTCATAATTCCTCTTCTTGTGGACCTAGAGCGATCAATTCGGTAGAAATACAGGCGGTAGGATGGGAACACTGGTGATATGTGGCAGGAATGGACACCATTCTTAGGGGGTTGTACGTGATCGACAATTCTAAATTTGAACTTAGGGCGTTCAAACTTGCTAGAAATATAGTCGGCAGAATGGCAATACTTATGGTTGGTGGCACGACTCGACTCCGCCAACATCGACCGGGACAAGCTCAAAATAAATGTTTGGCTAAGAATTCATAATTTCTGTTCACGTGGGTCTACACTACCCAAAAATTTTCGCTAACCCACCGCCCCTTCTTGTGAGGGAGAACTGGACTCCCCACAGGAGTGAACAAGATTGTAGTTGGATAGTAACACCTATGGTAAATGGCGGGACTGGAATCCGCCTACACGGGGCGGGATTGCTCGAAAAAGGTTGGACTTTGAAGCTCTAGTTCTTATTCCCGTGTACCTATGACCTTCATATTCGCTAAAAGCACAGGCGACAGGATGGGAATACTGATGATGGGTGGTAGGAAGCAGCTGAGCTGAACTCCACCATAGTGTGGGGTGCGTATGAAGGACGAAAGCGGAATGTGTGCAAAGCGAACGCAATTTGAGTAACCATACGAAATCGAGTGATAGGTGGGGAAGAAACCACGTTACTTAAACACACACGACTTGAACAGGACTACGCACATAGCGCGCGAGACGGTTGAGAAGTGTGTTACAGTGTTTGTGTGTATTTGGCTAGAAATCAATGACTCCTTCTCTCCTCAACCAGAGCGTCCCAATGTTGAAGGCATGCAGGCGGTGCGTCAATTTTAACAGAATAGGAGAGCCTGGCGTCAACCAGGCGATCCAACTGGCACATATATAAGCCTCAAGTTAGGTGACTATATAGAAACTAAAAGTTTAGTATGCATGTTTGTTTGTCTGTCTGTTTGTCTACCTGTCTGTCTGTCACTATTCAGTGAAGTTCTTTAACCCATTGACGAACTCATGGCTCGCCGGCGGGCCACACCATATCGTGCTTCTGTAGAATTTATATTATTTATCACGTGTTCTTAAAATTTTTTCATGTTTTCACGTATCAGCTGAGCTCGTAGCCTTCTAGAGGATCTTGACGCATCGTGGTTCAAGAATCATTCATTTTCAACTACAGTTATAGGAGAAATTAAAAGATAATGTAAGGACAATGTAGAAGGCGCGGTCGCCAATGGGTTAAAATACACACGAGAACCAAACTTCTTGCAACACACAGACTGGGCTCATGTGTGACAGGTGGATTGAGCCCTCGAAGAGCGGAAGTGCGTGAAATAGGCGTTGCCCAAGAAAAAACTGAACCACGCTTTTCTCGCAACTGGAACAGCATGGGAGCGGACAGGGAATGAGCAATGCATAATATCTAATAAATGTAAAGCATACTAATAAATGTCCGAATTAAGCTCAACGGCGCCATTCTGCGGGTGGAAGAATTTCAAGGAAAAAGAAGCTCAGTGAAAAATTTATAGCCTGGTTCAGAAACATTTCAGAGTCCATGAAGAAATGAGTAGAGCTTAAGAGCTTTTCAAAAGTTGAGGTCAGTTGTATTCGTAGCAAGAAGAGCTAAAATCTATAATAAAATGAACAATGCGATTTACGTTCAGAATCAATGGGACATTTCGAAACGTTACAGAAAAAATGATGGTGTCAGTCCCCTTCAAAAATGTTCTGGAAAAGTGAAAAAAAATTGAGAAAGAAATTTCCCACACTTTCACCAAAACCTAACCTTCACGTCTAAATGCAGTTTTACAGCGCCAGATCAGCATTTAATCTGAGTTGGAAATTCAGTGTTAGAGTGGCACATCTGAATGTGCTATAAACTACCTGACCAGCAGTTTACGAAATGTGTTATATGCTTTGATTACTCTCAAAATCTTGCGGTTTTCGAATGAGTACGTACGTACCATCGATGAAAAAGCAATGGAATGGCCAGATGTAACACATGAAGAACCATCGTTTCGATGTGTGAATGGTAAGACTGCGCACTATTGCTTGCTACGCCCACTAACAAATGTGCTTATTAGAGATTCAATTCGTTTCATTCGATGCACCAGAATTACTGCAAAACAATTGTAGAATTTCGTAGCATCCAAAAATCAGTTTATACCGCATAAAATTTTCCACGAAAAGGCCTCATATGCCTTAGGAAATACAGTGGGTGCGTATCAGTCTCGCAGTTGCAGATGCTTACTTTTTACCGCCACTGCTCCACCGCTCAGGTATCAACACTGTTTACGCAATTCCCTTTCTTTGCGATAGTACTCTTCTATCTATGGCAATCACATAGAACCCTACTTTTCTACTCATCACTTGGTCTGCAATGAATCATATCAGTTTCCTTCTTCCTTCGACGTAACGGAAGTGTGGTTGAGGTGTTCTCTCATCCACATCTGAGTGAGAGTACTGTATTGCTGTGTACCACTGTAAAATTACCAAGGGTCTCAAAATTGCGGATCATTGTGGGTCTCATCGAAATACAGAGAATCCGCCTGATTATATACAACTAGCTACGAGAAGTGTTGCTGCAGCACACCATTCATGTTTCTTATTATCGGGCACTCTAGTACTAGCTACCCTACTAGCAATTTTTTTCACAAGAAGTTTCGCATCGAACGACAACGTGGATCTACTACGCAGGTTCCTTTTTATATTTCGGGATTAGAGAACAAAAATAAATATTAATCATTGAAAATCGCTTGTCTTTCAAAATATTCCCCATTATGATGCATACACTTTTGCATACATTTGAGCAAATTGTCGGAGCACTTTTGTCACTCTGAATGAGGTATCTCCAAAACATGCATTCTGAACGAATCAACCGCTTTTCAGATGTCGGAAAACGTTGACCTCTCATTTTATTTTTCGAGTGCGGGAAGAAAAAAAAGTCATTCGGGGACTATATGGCTGTTGACTCATCATATCGTTGTTTTGAGTGCTCAAAAATGCAGTTACTTGAGCCGATGTGTGGGAGCTCGCATTGTCGTGGTGTAGAGTAATCCGTCTCCGGCAGTTGGTCTCCTGATTTTTTCGAAAGCAACTGGCAAAAAAATGGTTGTATGCCACTCAGAATTGACGGCTGGTTCTCGTGGTACGGTTGCAACATGTCTAGTTTTTCCAAAAGGAACAGGCAACCACTTTCTTGGAAGTGCTTCGTGCGCGGACAGCTTTTGTTGGATTTGGCTCACATTGAAATACCCATACGATCGACTGCTATTTACTTTCGGGCTCATACGCGTAAATCCATGATCCATCACCTGTCGCGATGTCATAGACGTGTTTCGAAGCATCGCGATCGCATTTTCTGAGCATTTCTTCCGACAAATCGACACGAGCCTTTTTCCGAGCGATCGGGGGATCCAACGCGAAAAATTTTTCTACAGTCAAATCTTCATGCAATATTGAATGTATGCCGCTCCATCTAATGCCTAAGGTTGTCCCAATCTCACGATAGG